AAATATAATTAGATAAAATTTTATAGTTAGAGATGGTATATTACAGCCGTTATAGGCTTAATCTAGTTAAAAAATACCCTTTTTTAATTATTAGATGCGTTTGAAACTCGTTTTAAAATAATTTTATTTTCTGTATGAAAATGGAAAGAAGGAATCATTTCTTCATTTTTGAAAACATTTTCAATCACAGACTGGAATCATTTTTAAAAATGCGTTTAGTAATTTTATTCAGAGATTATTTTCAGTAGAAAAAAACTGAAACTCTATTTAGTTGTACATTTTTTAAAACATGTAATAGTATTTTAAATAATATACTAAATAATTAATATAATAAAATAATATATTAAATAATTAATAATGAATATATTAGTTCATATTAATATATTACTAGTATACTAATAATCAGTATGTTAGTTTATACTAGTATACTATATTAGTTGGATTTGCGAGCTTTGTTGGTTGTTGGAATCACGGAAGAGTAGTTGTGAGTGCCTGAGATTACTGGTTCCTGGAGGAGAAGTTGGGTTCGTGAGTTTTGATGGCGGCTGGGGTTCGCGAGCTTCGTCGGCGATGTCTCTTGGGTTCGTGACGGAGGCAGAGGCTGGAGAGAAATATTAAAAGAAAAACAACTGTAAACTCAAAGCCATAATCACAAAAAAAAAAAATCTAAAACGAAAATGGAAAATGGAAATGAAAAGAGGAAAACGATCTTGTATCGTTTTCAAAAACCAATGCAAAGAAGAGAAACTAATTTCATTTTCAGCACATCGAAAAATGAAAAAAATGATTTTTAAAAACAGTATTAAATGCACCCAATGTATTCTCTTTCCTAAAAAAATAAATATTTATCTAAAGAAAGAAAATGTATTTTTCTTATCATATGGAAACTTTCTCCAAAACACAAATCAAATACAAAGAATAATTCCACTAAGCAACCAAAAAAATCAAAAATAAAAAAATACAGCTTCTACTAAGCTGTACATAACACAAAAAACACACCCCCAACGCGTTGAATTAGTGCTTGGCCTTCTCTTTTGTTTCTCTCTCTAAAAAAACACGTCACTCTTCTTACAAATAACACACGCACTCTCTCTCTCTCTCTCTCTCTCTTAAATTCAAAAACTCAAAAGTCCAAACTTTCGAAGGACAAAGCTCCGCAAACATGGCCGCCAACTCAAACTCCCTCTTCCTCATCATCTTCATCTTCAACCTCATTGTGCTCGCAGCCTCCCAGTCCCCCGCCGCCGACGCTCCGTCGCCGGCGCCTCCGCCGTCGGACTCCTGCAACGGCGTGTACCTCTCATACGCCCACACCGCCGGATCCAAGCTTCCGCCGGATCTGAAGAAGTCCGACCCAACTCACCAGCCATACCGTTTCGAATCCACCCTCACAGTCCTCAACAACGGCCTTGACGACCTCAAGTCGTGGCGGGCCTTTGTCGGATTCCGCCACGGCGAGTTCCTCGTCTCCGCCTCCAGCGCCGTCCTCGCCGACGGGTCGACCCTCCCTGCCAGCGTCGAGAACGGCACCGTTTTCGCCGGATTCCCGATGAGCGATCTCAAGACGGCGATCAAGACCGCCGGAGACCTGACCCAGATGCAGGTTCAGGTCAAGCTGGTCGGGACTCAGTTCGGCGTCGCGCCGCCGGATGTTCCTATGCCGGATAATATCTCTCTCGCCAATGATGGGTTTGTTTGCCCCAAACCCACTTTGCAAGGTAATTGTCTTTTTTTTTTTTTTGACTTTGATTGAATTTTGTTTATTTTTTGTTTGAAATTTTTGTGTAGTATGAGGAATGAATCATAATTTGTCTTGTAAATTAATTGTCTGAACATGACATTGTCCTGAAAATTAGGTCACTTGACCATATCAAAGTCACGTATCAACTTCTAATTTTCTTTCTTTTTTTTTTGGAAAAAAAAAAAAGAGTTCTTTCAAGTCATTTATGTTTCATTGTGTGTTCTTGCCTTAGTCATTAGCAAAGAGTGCTACAAAATAGTCTTAAGCGATTGACAAATAAGAATATATCATTCAAATCAGGATAAATTTTAAGCATTATGACCTTGATTTGTTTTAGTCATAAGTGGTTTAAAATTATTGGAATGTAATTACTTTAACATAACTTTGTCAACTTGTGTATGAACTTATTAGTTTTGAAAGGAAAAAAGAAGATATTTTGAATCATTTATGCTTTCATTGCTTGTTCTTACCATAGTCATTAGTAAAAGGGTGTTACAAAATAAGCATACATCATAAAAATGAAACCAAATTGTGTTTTGTTATTCTCTGTTTCATGTGACTATACAAGTAATAGTTTCTTACATTGACATTTATCCTCTTTGTTCATTTTCAGGGAAGAGTGGGATGCACGTCTGTTGCACAGTAGACCCTGATGTCAAAACAAACATCACGGTGGAAGAAGAGTTCCTGCCGCGCCAATCCGGCGATCTTTCGATCATGTACGACGTAACCCGAACATACGACTCGTCTTACTGGGCGCAAGTCACAATCTCCAACCACAACCCTCTGGGGCGCCTTGACAATTGGAAATTGAGTTGGGATTGGATGCGGGACGAGTTCATCTACACCATGAAAGGCGCTTATCCGTCCGTTGTCGACTCCTCTGACTGCATTTTTGGCTCGCAAGGAACGTATTACGGCGATCTAGACTTCGCCAATGTGTTGAATTGCGAAAGAAGGCCGACCCTGATTGATCTCCCTCCGACGAAGTACAACGATTCGAACCTCGGTTTCAAGCCCTATTGTTGCCGCAACGGTACTATTTTGCCGCCGTTGATGGATGCGAGCAAGTCCATTTCGTCGTTCCAGCTTCAGGTTTTCAAAATGCCTCCGGATCTTAACCGGTCTGAGCTCACCCCGCCTCAGAACTGGAGGATCAACGGCACGATGAATCCCGATTACAAATGTGGCCCGCCGGTGCGTGTCAGCCCTAGCCAATTCCCCGACCCTAGTGGCTTGCCCTCAAACTCGACTGCCGTGGCTAGCTGGCAGGTCGTGTGCAACATCACGCAGCTTAAAGGCGCGTCCCCGAGATGCTGCGTCTCGTTCTCCGCCTACTACAACGACTCGGTCGTCCCTTGCAAAACGTGCGCTTGTGGCTGCTCGCGCGCTACTGACCGCACCTGCAGCACTACCACGACTGCAATGCTCCTCCCGCCTGAGGCGCTCCTCATTCCATTCGAGAACAGGACGGCAAAGGCGAAAGCTTGGGCCGATCTCAAACACCTACCGAACCCAGACCCCATGCCGTGCGGCGACAACTGCGGCGTCAGCATCAACTGGCACATTGCCACGGACTACTCCCGAGGGTGGAGCGCGAGGATTACGCTCTTCAATTGGGGCGAGACGAGCTTCCCCGATTGGTTCGCTGCCGTGCAGATGAAGAAAGCGGTCCCCGGTTTCGAGAAAATGTACTCCTTCAACGGAAGCGCCTTGGAATTGGATGGTTACAACAACACCCTTTTTATGGAGGGGCTTGAGGGATTGAACTACCTCGTGGCGGAGACCGACGCCGCCAACCCGGAGAAGGACCCTCGAGTTCCGGGGAAGCAGCAGACAGTGATCTCATTCAAAAAGAAAAACACCCCGGGAATCAATGTGCCTATGGGAGATGGATTTCCCACCAAGGTTTTCTTCAATGGTGAAGAATGCTCAATTCCATCAGCACTTCCAAGCAATGGTGTTGGAAAAACCTCAGCCACATCATTCTCTTCACTGCTATTGTTGGTCTTAGTACTCCTCATATTGATTTAGTGACTTCATACTTCGTAACTGCTGCTGATTTTTTCATTCTTTCGGCGATTCGATCATCGGCGTCGGCGAGCACCGGGGGCGGGTAGGAGTTTGCCGGGAATCTGACTGGTAGACTTACTTTGGTTTGGAATTGTGAAGGAGGATATTAGACGATAACAGAGGACAGAGAAATCATATATATATATATAGTGAGTGTACAATGATATATGTTGTGTTGAAACATTGTTGAATCTAGGTACAGAGAAATCAGCTTTGATCTTTGTTGTATGTGTACCTCTAAGACTCTAGTGGATGTTTTGTTGAACCTTTTTTTTTTGTCTTCAATATCCAATTTTTGGCCTTGTTAAAAACTCTGTTTGTTTGTTTGCTTTTTTTTTTTTTTTTTTTTTTTTGGGTTTAATGGAAAAAACTTTTAATCACACTACCCTTTTTTAAAGAGTTTCGTGGAATTGTCAATGTAAAAAATATTAGCTGTATTTAGAATTGATGCTGTTTTTATTTTTCACGTTTTTTAAAAATGAAAAAATAAAAATGTTTTTAAAACGGCGTTTGGCGCAATAAAGATAAAAGACAGAAATAAAAATAATTTTTTAGTTTAGTGTAAAATGAGAGAGAAATGATAAACGACTTTTAGTCGTTTTTTATTTTTTATTTTCATTTTCTCCTCTCTTAAGCATAGAGAGAGAAAGAGACTGTTGGGTCACTGGGTACCTGCAGCAGAAATACACACACACACAAGCACACAGACCAACACCACAGCTAGATTACCGAAGGAACCTCAACCAAAGGATCCGTTTGATTAATCGTCGCAGGAAAACCACGAGCTGAGCTCGGCCAGCCAATACAATAGAAGAATTATTCTCAAAGATGATAAAAACGACTACCCCCCTCACTCACTCCTTTCTAACGTCCCTACTCACTAGGCACTATTTCCTAGGAGTCTAACCGCCTAGGCCAGCTCAGCAACCTCCTCACGCACTCACCTTATTTCCCCAACCGAAAACGTTGCGAGCACCTCTAGCATACATCCATTCGTATCTATTCCTCCTAGGCTCGGTTGTAACATTACTCCCCTCCTCAAAATCGACCTTGTCCTCAAGGTCGAAAGTAGGGAAACGGGCTTGCAGCTCTTCAACACTTTCCCAAGTGGCTCTCCATGTCCCGGCCCTGCCACTTCACCAGCACTTCCTTAAGGGGCTGTCCTCCTTGCTTCCGTAGGCGCCCTTGTAACACAGTCTCCGGGAACAGTGGTTCTGAGATGTCCGGCGCGAAGTCGACGATCACTGGTTCCTGTGAAACCGCACGTCTGCCGACCACTTTTTTTAGCATAGACACATGGAAAACTGAGTGCACCCTGGAACCTTCTGGCAACCGAAGCTTGTAAGCCACAGGACCTACCCTGCCGAGCACCTCAAACGGACCGTGGTATTTCGGGGCCAACTTGTTGCTGAGACGCGTGGCCACAGATCTCTGCCGATAGGGTTGCAGTTTTAGCCAAGCGAGTTCTCCCACCTGAAACTCTCGTTCCACCCGTTTCTGATTCGTATAACGCTTCATTCGTTCCTGAGCGCGCTCCAAGTTGCAGCGTAACTGTTTCAGCTGCTCATCTCGATCCGAAAGCTGCATATCCACTGAACCCACTGTGATCTTGCCCCCTGTATAGCGTATCAGAGTTGGGGGAGCCCGACCATATAAGGCTTGGAAGGGTGTCATATGAGTAGCCCCGTGGAAATTGGTATTGTACCAATATTCCACCCAACACAGCCATCTACTCCAGTGCATAGGCTGACCGCTGGTGAAGCACCTCAGATATGCCTCTAAGCAACTGTTAAGAACTTATGTCTGCCCATCCGTTTGAGGGTGGTATGCAGAACTCATGCGCAAGGTTGTCTGTTGGAGACGGAATAGCTCTCTCCAAAACAGACTGGTAAACACCTTATCCTGATCACTCACTATACTCCGAGGTATGCCGTGAAGACGCACCACCTCTTGACAAAACACCTCTACTACCAACTTTACGGTGAATGGCCGCTTGAGAGTGATGAAGTGCGCAAACTTGGTTAAGCGGTCCACCACCACAAAAATGACCTCATGCCCATTGGGCTTAGGCAGCGCCTCGATGAAATCCATCGAAATATCCTCTCACACTACTTCGGGAATAGGTAGCGGTTGTAGTGACCCTGCCGGGCTTGTTGACTTTACCTTATTCTGTTGACAAACCCCGCACTTAGCCACAAACCGTTGCACATCCTTGGCGATGCCTAGCCAATACACGTTAGCGCTTATCCGCTTATAAGTCCTTAAGGCCCCCGCATGTCCCCCTGTCGGAGTGGAGTGGAACTCCTGCAACAACTGTTGTTTGAATTGGGAACCCGCCGGAATGACTATCCGTCCCCGGTGCAGCAACACCCCATGCTCCACGGCATAATGGTTTTCTTGCGCCTCTCCGCGACTCAAAAGCTCCTTGAGGGTGCGAAGTTTGGCGTCGGCGGCTATCTCGCACTCCACCAAAGTCATGTCTAAGAATTGGGGCCCCGAGATAGCCAGGAGTTCACCTCCCTGTGCCCAACCACCTTGACGAGACAACGCATCGGCCACTATATTCTCTTTTCCAGCCCGATAGTGTATGTCGAACTCAAACCCCAACAACTTCACCAGCCACTTTTGTTGAGCCGGAGTACTAATCTGCTGCTCCAAAAGGAAATGAAGAGATTTTTGATCAGTGCGAACCACAAACCTCCTGCCGAGAAAGTACGCTCGCCATTTCTGAATGGCCAGGACCAAGGCCATAAGTTCCCTCTCATAAACCAACTTGGCCATTGTCCTAGGCGACAGCCCCTTGCTGTAGTAGGCCACCGGTCGCCCCTGTTGCAATAGGACTGCCCCTATCCCTGTTCCCGATGCATCCGTCTCTACCTCGAAAGTGTCCTTGAAATGGGGTAATGCAAGGATTATGGTCTCAGTCATTCGTCGTTTAAGAACCTGAAATGCCCGCTGCGCCTCCTCCGACCAAGTGAACTCCCCCTTCTTTAACAAATCAGTCAAGGGCCGTGCTATGGCACCGTAGTTTTTCACAAAACGACGGTAGTATCCCGTCAAACCCAGAAAGCCTCGCACCCCTTTCACTGTGGTTGGGACGGGCCACTCAACCATGGCCCGTATTTTTCCCGGGTCCGCTGCCACACCTTCGTGGGAAATGTAGTGCCCCAAGTATTCCACAGTATCCTGGAAAAACAAACTTCCCTTCCTTCAACAGCCCCAACACAGTTCGTAAATGATCCAAATGCTCCTTCGAACTATGGTTGTAAACTAGAATGTCATCCAAGAATACCAAAACAAATTTCCTGAGCAATGGTTTCAACAACTCCGTCATCATTGCCTGGAAAGTAGCCGGAGCATTAGTAAGCCCAAAAGGCATAACCAAGAATTCGTAGTGCCCTTCGTGTGTCCGAAATGCCATTTTCTCGACATCCTCCCGCCTCATGCGGATTTGGTGGTATTCGTTCTTTAGATCAAGCTTCGAAAAGCAAGATGCCCCGTGTAACTCGTCTAACAATTCCTTGATTATAGGGATTGGAAACTTGTCTGGCACCGTCAATTTGTTCAATTCCCGATAGTCCACACAAAAATGCCAACTTCCGTCCTTTTTGCGAACTAGCAACACCGGACTCGAATAAGGACTATGGCTGGGTCTAATAATTCCGGCCAATGTCATGTCTGCAATGAAACGCTCAATCTCATTTTTCTGCGCATGCGGGTACCGGTAGGGCCTGATATTCGGCGGTTTGGTACCCGGATGGAGCACAATAGCGTGATCCCCTGTTCTGGATGGTGGCAGCCCCAGTTTTCCCGAGAACACCAGTTAATATTCCTTTTCCAACTCCTCCATATAAGACGCCACTGCTCCCTCCTTCCGGGCAGTAGGTGAACGGGTGGATTGCCACTGCACTAAATAGCACTCTTCTCCCTGTTTGGCCATCTTGGCCACGGTGGTAATCGAGATGGGCTCCCGGGATAGGGCCGACACCCCAACCAGCCGATGGACCTTCCCTATTTATTAGACCCCAAACAACTTGTCGTTTGGAGTGGAACCTGGGATAGGGTTAAATGACCTCCCCTTCCACGACTTCCTTGGGCCTTCAGTGTGTATTCCAGCTGGAGGCCCAATTGAATAGCCTTATGTACACTATTGGGTTGCCACATCCGGACATCATCCTGTAAATCCTGATTCAGCCCATTCATAAAAATTCTCAGGGTTGTAGCTCGGTCCATTCCACGAATACGGGCCGACAACTCCTAGAACTGTTCCCCATATTCTGCCACGGAGCCCCTCTGTCGTAGGCCCACCAGTTGTTCCTGAATGGACCTGAATTCCCTAGGCCCAAAACGCTGCCCGAAAGAGAATTTCAGCTCCTCCCAATCCATGCTCGGTTCTTCCTCCATGACCCTATTCGTAGTATTCCCATGCCCTATTGAAGAGAAAATTAGCCACCACCTGCACGCGAACATCCGGCCGAATCAGGTGGACGCAAAAGTAGCGCTCCGCCCGTCTCTCCTAGACTGGCCACCCCTCGCTGTCGAAGGGCGGCAAATCCACACGAGGTGGACTCCCTCCCGTCCTCCGTCGGGGAGGAAACGGGTTGGGGGGCTCTCCTCCAGCCCACGCCGGAAACTCCTCTCCAAACCGTCGTCGATCACCACCACCCTCCCCGCGCTCGGGACCGCGCCTTCGTTCATGGTTATACCGGCCTCCCGTCTAAGTCGGTGGTGGCTCTACTTCCGGTGCTGCCCCTCGTGGTCGCAGTCCATCTGTTCGTCCCACATAGTGCGGCCGTCGGCCGGGAGGAACACCGATAACCGACAGATCCCACGGCTTGCTCTGTCCGGCACCCGTGGCGGCTTCCTCCGTTCCTGCTACAGGAGCGGCGGCTGCTACCTTTCCACGTTCCATGGGCAAGGGATCCGGCAATACCCGGCTGAAGTTCTCCACACTCTCCTTGACGAGATTAGACACCAGCTGAGGTAAGCCTTTGATACACTCCTCTAATCGATCTAACCCTGTCAGTTTCCTGGCCAATTCATCCAACTTTTTCTCTAATTCCTCCACGCGGTCACCACGAGTTCCACCCTTCGTCATTCTCCCTTCTCCCTGATCGTAAGCTCTGATACCAAATTGTTGGGTCACTAGGTACCTGCAGCAGAAATACACACACACACAAGCACACAGACCAACACCACAGCTAGATTACCGAAGGAACCTCAACCAAAGGATCCGTTTGATTAATCGTCGCTGGAAAACCACGAGCTCAGCTCGGCCAGCCAATACAATAGTAGAATTATTCTCAAAGATGATAAAAACGACTACCCCCTCACTCACTCCTTTCTAACGTCCCTACTCACTAGGCACTATTTCCTAGGAGTCTAACCGCCTAGGCCAGCTCAGCAACCTCCTCACGCACTCACCTCCTTTCCCCATCGAAAACGTTGCGACCACCTCTAGCATACATCCGTTCGTATCTATTCCTCCTAGGCTCGATTGTAACAGAGACATTAATGAGTTTTTTTACACTAAAAATATTCTTTTGATATAACTATTAAACGCATTTTTAAAAATAATTTATGTCTAAAATTAAAAACGCTTTCATTTTTTTTTCATATAAAAAATAAAATCATTTAAAATGAATTCTAAACGCACCTATTAGTTATATGAGGATTTTTCTTTCAACTTTTTTTTTCTTTTATTAGTTGCTCTTTATAATATAACTACGTGTCTATTGTGGAAGTTTATAGAAAAGTCATGTAAAGTGCAAATTATTGTTTTCATTTTTTCCTTTTTAAATATAGAATATTCACCTATCTTACTACGTTCTTTTTTCTAATATTTCAGTTATTGCGCTGTGTATTTCATTATGACTAGGGCGGTAAATAAACAAACTATACACTAATCGGCTAAAAATAATCAGGAACCACGTAAATCGTTTTTATGAGAAAGTTTTCAGACCATCCTATTATTCAGATCAGTTTTTTAACTATTGAATTTAGTTAAAATCAAATAAAATTTAAAGAGTATACAGAACAAGACAGTTTTTAATACAGATATTTAAAATAGCTAAAAAAATAAATTTACTGATAGTTTTATTTTTTTAATTGTACGAGAGACACTCTTAAATTTTATTGATAAAATATTGTTTTTAGAAACTTTTATTTATAAAATTATAACAAAATGACAAGAACGATCACATTTTACCTAAAACGTCAGGGTGTCAATTTTTTATTTTGTAGGGTAGTAAAGATCATGTTCATTTCATTGATTCGAGTTTTGTTATAGTAAAAAGTTCTTAAAAATAGTCATATCTAACTTTTTTACTATAGTAAAAAAATTAGATATGACTATTTTTAAGAACTTTTTACTATAACAAAACTAAAACTCACATAAAATTACATCTCAATTTAAATTAAAAACTCAAATCAACGAATTAAACCGCCTAAAACTATTAACAATCCTTGTGTTTAAAATAGGCTGCTAACTACATACAGTTGTCTTTTGATTAGAGAGAAAAAAAAATACTTACAGTAGTCTGTCATTTTTGTCTTATTCATTAACGCATTACAAATTTTGAGAGTGGACCCTGGCTTGACTGGTTTGTACGTAAAAATTGCCATAGAGCTTCCTGTCTGCAGTCTGAAACGTAAATTTCTGGGATGTTTGGTGGAGGGATTCGTTTCTTGATTCAAATTATGATTTATAGTTCGTTACAGTATTTTTTCTCACAAAAAATTCACGTAAATCGAAAATAATTCATCTTAATGCTTTGCATAATTTCAAATTTTCAATTTTTTGACATGAAATAAATCCCCGTCTTTTTTGACTGTCAAAATGATTCTGAACCGGGACCATGTCTTCCCCAAAATCAGTACCCTTAAACATTATTAGCACGATTTTTTTGAGCATTTCTTTCTTTAACAAGAAATTATCCATTAAAATTAATCGATGCTCTAATCACTTTCATCACAAAACAAAGGACACGGTCTTATTCAATGACTTGTGTGGGCTACTAATGACTAAATCATCCTCTTATTCACACCTACAGCAACTGATAAGTCGAGCGCAATTTTTTTTTTTTTTTTTTTTTTCGGTTATTTTCACTACCCGTCCTTAAAAATACACTTCTCACTCTCGTTCTTAACATTCACTTTTAAAAATTTAACGCTAAGAATACAATTCTCACTCTCGTTCTTAACATTCACTTCTATAAGTTTAGCGCCTGCAACGATATCGTTAAAAAATTTGCAGTTTCAACCCTCTGTATATAAATTGTCTAGTTGTATTTTCTACAAATGTATATTTCTCTCAATAATCTATGTGGAGAACTTATGATAATATCGAGAAAACATAAGAAAATTTGTCAATATTTACTTTAAGAACAGAACCATCAATTTACGCGTCTTACTCCTTTATCAATAACAAACTCAATCCATATCAATAGTACATGAACAGATGTGAAATTGAATTGAAAAACAACATGAAGAAATATAGTAAACATAGTTGAGAGCAAAAAGAAAAACTAGCATAAATGGGAAACTACTTAAGAAACTTAAGTACAAGAAAACAAAGACAGGAAAAGAATACTCAGACTTGTGTCTTGAGCAATCCAATACAATATGTACATCAATGTCAATTCCTTTAGAAAGGGAGAGAAAAATGGAAAGTGAACATAAAAAAAAAGAAAAGAAAAGAAGAAAAGAAGAAAAGATGGGGCAAACTTCAAGTGTTATTAGAGTTAGAAAAGCTCCTAAAAAAGTCTGCAAATGTATCAAACCTACTACCCACAATTGGATCCCAAAAACCAAGGGACATAGCTTAGCAATCCAGATATATGTAGTAGCTAGCTACTTGATAGAAATTTACCACCAAAGCCGGACAAAAATTTCAAAACGACGCCTTCGCGTATCATGCAATAGTAATTTGAGACACTTTCAGGCATAATCGTTGACATGATCGATCCGTCGAAACACCATTAGCCTGATCTTTCAATGAACTAATCAATCATGCAGCATGCTATTCACATAGGAAGATGAAGCTGAAGCGAAATCAAGAGTTTCTGCCTTCTTGAATTAGACATAGACTTTGGTTGCCGAAGAATTAAGTTCAATCTGTTACAGCAACTATATACACCCCGAGCTACGGCGTCCTCTACACAGGAATGTTATCCATGGAATACCCATCAAAATCAAACTGATTCTCAGCTGGTGTAATGCCTTCTTGCTGCTAGGAAACATGAAATTTTGTTTGATTTTAGTTAATAATCGTTTATCTAAATGACTAAATCCATAACAGACATCTCAATTCAAAAACACTAAAACGAAGGGATAAAAAGGAAACTGACCTGTTTGAGGAGCGCACTCATTAAATCATCTTGACCAAATTGTTCGGGAAAGAAGCCATTATCGGCAAGCACATCAGTATTTCTTTCAGTTTTAATCCTTATCGAATTGTCACCGAGGAGAGTATTAAGGTGCTGGCTAGTGTTCTGTGCATTCCCATGACCAATGTCCCCAATTGAGTACATTGGCTTGCCGACATTAGATTGATTCCTAACCGGCATATTTCTCTGGCTACCAGAAAACCCTTGATGAACCAAGTCCAAGCTACCACTTGGTATGGAGTTCGACTGTTGCGAGGCATCAAATGTCAATCCCACGTTCTGTATGTCCCAGTCGTTGGATTTATGTTGGTTCAAGTCATTGAATATATCATAACTTGCCGCAAAAGAGACTGATCCCTTAACTTCCGAGGTAACCTCTTCTTGAAATGACCCTTGGGATGGGAGACCGGACATGGTCGAAGCACTTCCAAGAGGGAAACCATTGGGAAAATTCAACATGGAGGAGTTTTGCATAACCGGATTGTATCCTGCTCCCCTGCCATTATTGGTGATTCCATTCCTACCTAAAACTCCACTAGCAAGCCCAGTTGATACAATAGTCTGTGTCGTCGGAAGCCTGGGAACATGACTACTAGCAGTGTCGTTCAGAATTTGCCCTCTTGACTGTGGCTGATTCATCTGCATAAGCAAAGAGCTGTTCTGCGCCCCATGGGTGTTGACTTGCATATTCATCCCGAGAGATTGGGCGGACTGGTGCAAGCTGGTGAGTTGTTTTGGCTCCATACTTGTTGGGATTCCGTGGAGCAAGTTCACTGGTTTACTAGTGCCCAAATGCTGTTGTTGTTGTTGTTGCCCCTCTCCGAACCTCAACTTCGGATTTTCAAAGCTAAATAGGTTCCGCTGATCAACAAGGGGCAAAGGGATGCCAGGTTTCGCTGTTGACCTACCAAGTCCAGCTGCTTGAAGAGTGGCAAGGCTTTGCGCAGGAATTTGACCCGCTACAGCTAGAGTTTGAAGATCAATGCCATTTAGCGAGGTCATCGCCCCAAAAGACGCCTCCTGGGGATTGATGAAGGAGTTGTTCATACTTGTTTGGTGCTGCCCACTTAGCCTTCTAAGGTATAACCGATATTTCTGTCCCACAAGGTTGAATTGGAGTTTCATCAAGAAAATGGAAAAGATTAATCGCTTATAACATAGAATTGAAGATGAAAATTGCGTCAAACAAATAGGGATAAGAACACACAACATTTTACCTTCTTCATGAGAATTCTTCTTCTAAAAGGGAAAAAAGCAATTAAATCAAGCACGGGATTCCAAAAATACCTGAAGATGGCTGGCGACGTTTTCTCTAGTGAGGCCAGGAACATTCATCAACTCCAGGATTTTCTTTGGAACAGCCTCTGTATCAACATCTTAAACTTGAGTAACATGAGAGAGAAATATACAACATCCGGGTTCAAATTTTCACAAATAGACATCCATGAATCTTATAGCCCTGTTTTGGATGGAGGGAGGAGGGAGATGGAGAGATGAAGGCCCACAAAATCTAAACCCTCTACTAATTGAAGGTATTCAAGAAAGACATTACTGAAAGCCATAAGAAGGCTTATTCACCCTCCAAAAAAGAGAAAATTATTGAAAAAGAGTAAAATCGATAATTAGTAACTTGGCAAATGACTATTCATCCATCCTTCAGCTCTCCAATTTTCTTATGAAACATGGAGGATTACTATAATCCATCATTCACACAACAATCACGACAATGTGTTCCTCATAAAGGCCATTTTATTTAATTGCAAATGCAATTTTTTCCTTAACCAATTCTAACTCCCAACAAACAACAGTAAAACACTCTAGAGCTAAAAACTGGATCTATGAAGAAAACCTTCTTTAACCAATTCTAAATCCCAACAATCAAGAGCAAAGTGCTCTACAGCTAAAAATTAGGTCATTCAAGTATATGAGGACAGAAATGAAAGGAAATCAAGACATGAATGAGATAAGGTACATACTATCAATGCCGAGCTGATTAACAGCCGCCACAAACTGCTGATGGAGCTCGACAGACCAGACGACACGAGGCTTCTTGAGCGTCGAGGTGTCATCCCTCTCCTCAGCCTCCTCATCCTCGTCCCTCCTCTTCTTCGAGGACTTCCAATTGCCCTCGTTCGCTGAGGAGGAGTAATCTGCGTCCTCGGAGGGCTTAGCGGAGCGATCTCCTTCCTCAACGCTCCCAGATTGCTCCAACTCCCTCCATTCATTCTTCTTCTTCCTGACCACATGCTGCCATATGTTCTTCAGCGCCTCAATGCGCACCGGCTTGATTAAGTAGTCGCAGGCCCCATGAGTGACACCCTTCATCACAACATCCTTCCCATCATCCGCAGACATCACTATACAAATCCAAATTGTTTAAAGGAATCAATATATAATCAAATAGATTATAAGTCTTAAAAAATTGGTCAAATCTGTATAAGCTGGTGTACTTACTGATAACAGGAAGGTCCATTTCAAGGCCAATGTGCTCTAGAAGCTTGAATCCGTTCATGTCAGGCATGTGAACATCACTTATAACTATGTCAAATCCATTTTTGTTCTCTCTAAGCAACGACAAAGCGTGTTCTGCTCTGTTGCATTTTGTAACTGTGATTACCCAAAAACGAAGAAAAAAAAAAGTGAATTAAGTTAATAAAAAAATATCAACTGTTTAAGCAGGCTGAGAAACTGAAATGAATAGAAGGCAATAGGCAGAGGATTCTGAATCTACAAAAGGGCACAACTGAAAAAAAGAAATATAAACAAAAATAAAGACTCCAACTTTTATGGGAAAATGAAAAATTAAGGCGATTTTGACCCATGTGGAATAGTAATCAGTATGAGGAATTCAGAGATTTCACAAGATTTGAAATCTTAACGGGAAGTGTAAGGCAAATCTTAAAAAGGGTAGTCAGAATTTCGTTGTTTTCTTCTCTGGGTTTCTCTCCTCTACCAAAAACATTCAAAACCCATGAAACTAATCACTAAAAACACTTCAAAAAAAACAGTAAAACACCCAAATAAAAAACCAAAAAAAAAACTAAAATTCACCACAAACGAAGAACAAGAAGAATAAGAAGAAGAAATAAACCCAAAACAGAAAAGGTTAAAAAAAAAAAAAAAAAACCTTCGTAAAGACAAGTTCGAAGCATCTTCTCCAAGATCATGAGACAAGTGGGATCATCGTCGACGACGAGAACTCTGAGACCGGCCGGAAACTGGTCGGAAACGACGTCGCCTGATTTCCAGGCTGCTCCCGAAGTTGAAGTCGCCATCGATCCCTTCCCGTTACTCAAACACACAAAAAAAAAAAAAAGAAACAATAATAATCAAAGAAAAAGAATAAATCTTTTTCTCTCTCTGGTTTTTCTTTCCTGTTTTCCTTTTGTTTGCGACGAACCCAGATGCGGAAATGGATTTACATGCTTGAAACGGGATTGAAATTCAACGAACCCAGCTCAGTTTTGCGAGGCATAAGGAGGATTCCCAATTTTTTCTTTTGAAATTTTTTTTTTCCTCTTGTATAATCCCACTCTTAAATAATAAGTGTTTTTAAAGGAAGGAAAAAAAAAATAATAACTGTGCTGGTTTTGTTTGTCCCTCTCCTCTCCTCTCCTCTCCTCTCCTGTCTCTCTCTCTCTCTCTTCTTCAAGCTCTCAATTTCTCTGTTTTAATCATTTATTTTATTATTTATTAGGGATGATGAATTATATATTTATTTATTTTAATTTGGGAAACAATAATTAATAAAATAAAAATAATAAAAAAATAAAATTAAAAGTGGGACAGTCCCTGAAAGAGTGGATCCAGCTCACACAAAGGATTTAACTAACCCCAGGAAGCATCTTATAAATCCACTCTAAAGTTAGTCCAACGTTTTACTTCAGTTTCTTTACTACTCATTTTTTCATCTTTTTTCTCTTCTGAAACCCCAAAAAAAAAAAAAAAAAAAAAATTCATAATTGTACCACTCTTTTCTGCTGTTAAATTAATTAAAATCATCTCAAATTAAAAGAATATTTAAAATAAATATATTTTAATATAAATTTTGAAGACTAAAAGACTATAAAAAAAGTCTCAAAAAACTTTATATCAGTGGCAGAGTTATGTAATTACAATAATAAATTAGACAATTGATAAAAAAATTATAATAATTAATCAAATTAAATTTTTATCACGTCACATCATGAAATTTATATATTTAATAAGTAATCACCAATATAAATATAATTATTAAAAACTCAACTCAATATATAATAAATATTTTTTTATTGGATGAAGATATGTTTATAAGTTTATTATTAATTTAGATGACGCACAACTATATAATTTCTTTTTCTTTTTGGATAAAGAAAATATAATTTCCTTTTTTTCTTGTCCTATATAATTTCTTTTTATTAGTATCTGTAGCTCTCCCACTACGCCCCATGATATGTACCAACGCAACCATAATAAGGCTTAATCAAATGATTCATATTTTTTTATTAGAAAAAAAAAATCAAACTATGCATATGGGGAGACTTGAGAGGATTCTTTAAATGACATTGTTATGTATGTTGATTAAAATCACACTAGTGATAGCTGTAATCAATATGCCCCATCACAAATTTATTTTTAAAAAAATACACGAAAAAAAATATACAATATGTACTATAATATTTTAGATTGTCAGATAATATCACAGAATTATATCACAAAATGAAAAGGATATAATATCTTTTGTACCTGTCAAAAATTTTCAACTGTACAATTTTTTTATTACCAAAATAAGTTTTTTTTTTTTAATTTTCTTTGTGCATATAGGATTAAAATTTGAATAGTGAAGTTGGTGTGTAGCCTAGTGGTTGAAATGTTTGTGGAATTTCGTTATTCCTAGTATGTATGAATAAAGGCGGTCCTCAATAATTTTTGGTTTGTTCTTCAAACTTTAAATGCTTTCTATTTTTCTAAAAAATATATATCATTATTATTTTATAAAACTAACTTATTATTAATATAATGAGATGTAAGATTCAGAGTTTCAATCAATATTTTGGCAAACGGAGATGCACAATGCACTTTTTTAAGTTATAATAAAGAATTTAAGGGAGAACCCTTTTTCAGTTTGTATTAAAGTAAATGATTTTGCGTGGTTAAATTGAGAATTGACAAATGGTTGATAAAATAATATATTTTAAATTGCTTATATTTAAAAAAAAAAAAAAAGAAACCGTTTTGGTCTAATTTCATTGGTTTTTCAATATTGAATCAATTTTCTTCGAATTTTGTTATTCAGTGCCTGGTCTATTTCCAATATTTGGTCATTTCCACTTTTGCTTAGTTGACTAATTACATGTAAACATCACTCAAAGCCAACCAAATAATAGCCCAAATTAATTGGATTCCACACCTATGCCATATTTAAATTGAGGATGTAGCACGCAATATATTCATTGCAATACATATACATACATGTATTGGTCAAACTTGCAATTTCTTTATTACCCTAAAAAAAAAATCTTCAGAAACGAATTAAATCCAAAGCGTATTAACAACAAAATAACAAAAAAGTAAGCACAAAGCCAAAAAGTCCATCTTTCCCAAAATTAGTTGCGAATAATCTAGCTATTCTGAGCAATATTACTTACATATATTTATAAGTAAAAAATACAACACATATTTTTTTTAAGAAAAACCAAAATTGCTAAAGCAACAACTACTTTTATTGTGGGGGTGGGTTTGGTTCCATTTTCAGATCCCTAAGGAAAAATAAGAACACAAAAAAAAAAAAAAAAACACCTTTATAGTGAGACTCTTTAAAAAAAACTCATTAGTGAAACACTTTATTTTGACTGTTAAATTAAATTTTTAACAGTTAAATCCGTATAAATTTATATTAAAACAATGTTCCGCATAAAATTATTTTTTTAAAGATCAAATCGTTAAAAAATAATCTAACAGTTAAAACATGATATTCTATTAATAGATTTTTTTTAAAGAGTCTCACTATACCGCAAGCCAAAAAATAAAATAAAAGGTATTTTCATACTAAATTGTGGATAAATATTTATTTAAGAAGAATAAAAACAACTAATTACAAAAAAAAAAAAAAATCCTTCAAAAGTAAAGTGTCAACGTGGCTACAAATTCCACGCGTGAACGGCTCGGCCAAACGGAAACGGACAACCGTTGAAGCGTGAATTATGTGCCCTTCCTTTGAAGACAAACTAACGGCGTTAAGTCTAACTCCGTCAAAAGTTTATTTTATCTAATATATGTTTCTGCGTTCTGACCAGATTTTTGTTTTTGGGTGCCACGTCATCTACCCACTTCCCTTAGCCGACACATGGCATTTCCGCCGCATCACAGGATAAGGTCTCCTTGGCCTATAATGCTGGCCTCTTTTTATTTTATTTTTTCTTCTTCTTTTTCTTTTACTTTTCCCACCAAAATGAAGGTAAGTTTAATTGGATGAGAGTTGTGAGAATTTCTTTTCTTTTTTAAATAACTTAATAGAACGTTTTATTTGTTTTAAAAGATAATTATTAGCGTTGTTTGTGTCTCTTATTTCCTCCTTTAATAACGGAAATTACGGACCTACCAATAGAATGAAAACGAGATAACTAAATCCAATTTATTTATTTTTAATAAACCACACATCTAGCACCACATGAAAAGTATTTTGGTCGTGTTTAGAATTGATCCCGTTTTTATTTTTTACGTTTTTTAAGAAAGAAAAAATAAAAACGTTTTCAAAATAGCGTTTGACGCAATAAAAATAAAAAAACGAAAATGAAAACGATTTTTTTGTTTAGTGTAAAATGATAAAGAAATGAAAAACGATTTTTAATTGTTTTTCATTTTTTATTTTCGTTTTCTCCTCCCTCGAACAGAGAGAGAGACATTAATGAGTTTTTTTATACTGAAAATAATCTCTTGATAAAACTACCAAACATATTTTAAAAAATAATTTCTGCTTGAGATTAAAAACGTTTACATTTTCATTTTCATACAAAAAATAAAATTATTTTAGAACGAGTTCTAAATGCACCCTATAATTCATGCTTTATGTTTTTTTTTTATTATTTGACACATGAAAAACATGCTCTTTATCTATTATTTATTACTCATTCTTACATAAAAGTTCAAATTGATTCAATTTTATTAAACTATAGAGGTGACAAACGTTAGAGATTGGTCTTTGAATGGAAAAAACGACACTACCTTTTTATTATACTACTGAACTACTAATCACAAGTTTGATTCTATAAGAAAACGTACGATTACACTTCCTAAATTAGGAAATAAACAAAAATCTCAATTCTTCAAAGGATAATATTCCCCATCCACAAGAATAAACATTTTTTTTTTTTTTTTGGTCTTGAGGAAAGAAAAGAAAAACTAAAAATAATAATAATAATAATAAAAGAATCAGCATTGCTTTTCCACTGCAAGAAAAGCTGTGACCTTGCTAAAAGCACAGCAGCCTACTGAGACCCGTATATTCCCCTGCGACCTTTTCTGTATTACGATGAAAATATAGAAGCCTTTCACTGTCAAAAACCGTGCCTTTGAGACAATAGAGATAGATATATACAAACTAATAGATAACTATAAAAAAAAAAGGAGAATTTATTTTTGAGAGTTTATACATTTAGATTTAGATTTTTTATTTTTAATAAATAATTTTTTTATTAGTGTAATTATTTAATTAAAAAAATTATAAATTAAAAATAGAGGATAAAAATTTTAATTTATGTACTTTTAAAGAATATTTATTAAGATTATATGATATTATACATAGATATGTCGATATATATCCGGGCTTTTCTTTAATCTTTGTGATGAGATGTCCTTTAAACGTAATATACGTAATTATAAAAATGTAATAAGATAATTAGTCAACATAATATTAAAGTTAAAGAAAAGTAACACTAAAAATTTATTTATCTAAAGATTATGAGTGCGTTTAGTTGGAGAATTTATTCTCTGATTCGAATCATGATTTATGATTTGTTACAGTATTTTCTCTTATAAAAAATACACGTAAATCAAAAATAGTTATAATTCATAAACCAAACGTCTCATATATTATTTATCCCTAATGTTAATATTAAATTTAATAATTATCATGTTGTATATTTATAATTATTAGGGAATAAAGTTCCTGTAAAAAAGCCTATCGTTATATATATTTACGTCTAACCCAGCAACAACCATACCTCTACGCCTGAGTAAAAGAGAGCCCAAAGTTCAAGAAAACCCAGGGAAAGCCAATAACAAAACAAAATCAAAACCCCACTTACGAACAAAAGGTTGTGTAGAGATTTTTTTTTTTTTTTTTTTTTTTGGTTGCAGCTTTGGCTTTTGGCTTTTGGCTTCCCGAGCGAAAGCAAAGGGAAAAAGAGGGCATAGAAACGCTTCGGTTTCCAGAGGTTAATGATTTTATAATAATTGTTTATTGTATTTTTGGGTTCTTGGTTTTTAGCTTTTGACGGGGATTGGTTTGTGCTTTGCCGGGGGGGTATTCTTTTTAGGGCAAAAAGAGGGCAAAAAAATTTGTTATGGATTTTGTTGTAACGTGTGTTTGTGTTTTCACGCGCGTTATTAATAATCATTAATATGAGAGTTTGCTTTATATGAATGTGTTTTTTTTTTTTTTTTTTTTTTTTTTGGTGCT